GTCACCCCTCCTGTGCTGGCATCCGGGACGGTCCGCCCCCCCCTAGCTACGCCACTGCGAATGACTACTCTGAAAGAAACTAACCATACTATGTCGTGTAAATAGATAACAGAGAGTGTATTCTAATCAGATTGACATGTCTCCGAAGCGGCCTTAAAAATTACATCAGGAAGACGGAATACTAAGATTATATGGAGAAGTAAATAACACTTGTTCACAAACTTGTCTCTTCCATTTCACTTCTGATTAATGTGTCATTAGGTGCTAAGAAACTGTAACTCTTAGCCTTGAATTATACATCACTTAATATGTCTACAGGTAAACATTGATCAGAGCTAAATAACAACAAAAAAATGATTTGACACAGAAATATTCAAATTTAAGAAAATCTATTTGCCGTTTATATTATTTTTATTTTCAGTTTTAAATCGGTATCTTATAAACATTAAATTATTTAAAAACAACATTACTCTTAATTTGATTGGTTAAAAAACAGCCTTAATCTTATTTTTAATTTGATTGGTTAAAAAACAACCTTAATCTTACTTTTAATTTCATTGGTTAAAAATAAACTTTTATTTTGATTAATTAGAAATAATATTAATTTCTTTCGTCAAGAAGTTTCGCACAGTTAAAACAAAATTACTTTTAATTTGTTTGGTTAAAAAATAACCTTAATTTTAATTTGATTGGTTAAAAACAAACTTTTATTTTGATTAATTAGAAATAATAGTAATTTCATTACTAAAGAAGTTTCACACAGTTAAAACAAAATTACTTTTAATTTGTTTGGTTAAAAAATAACCCTAATTTTAATTTGATTGGTTAAAAACAAACTTAGTTTTAAACAGGCAGTAACTTTCTCAAATGTCCTTCCGAAAAAAAGGTTTTTTCTTTACATAGTAACAAATTAGGTTGTACTGATAAATCATCAGTTACCTCCCCTTAAGGAGGTATAAAATGCACCGTGTAAATCCGTCAGTAGAAGAGTAGTCAGAGTAAAGTGCAATAAAGCTTTGGGATAAGTTTATTTATTGGTTCTGTTTTTACTATATAGGTTATATGTAATCTTGGGTTATAAGTGTTCCCGTCGGAATGCATTTGATTAAGAAATTGCTTACTTCTTCATTTTGACTAATCGTCTGTTTATAATTGCTCAAATGTTATTGCTTTTTCTGCCAGAGTAATAATAAATCCCCAAAATAATAAATGTGACAAACATGGTATTTATTTATTGGAATAGCTTTATTATAGTCTATTCTATAATAAGGATTCAGTGTATGTAAATATTATCATGTCATGTTTTGTACGCCATGTTTATTTTCATAAATCCGTTACAAAATCACATATTGAAGAGAGTTTAGTATTTTAATCCCAAATAAATGTCACATTGCCATATATAAAATGTCATGCAATCTTTCTTGTGACATATCAAGCATTATTCTCGTCACAGCATGTCTTATCCTTCTAGAGCAAGTCGATTTTGGAAGCGTGTTCTTACACTTAATTTGAAAGTTGAGGTTTGACATGATAGATAAGGACACAAAATAATTTTGCAAATTGTTACCTGTTTTTTTTTTTTCATGGAATGAGTTTAAGAATTAAGTTTAGGCACAAAGTCGTAACGTTGGAATTTCATTCCAGTAATCACTGAAACCCTTATAGCACAGCCTTACATAATTTATAAGTAACGTAAGCTTTACAAATTGTATATAGACATGATGCAAGACACATTGTTACTTAATTATTGTACCGTCAAATAAGACCTTCATTTACTTCAAAAGGAAATTATACTGAACAATTTAGCTATATTATGATTTAATATATTATACAGTGTAGTTGTTTTAGTACGATTTTTCAATAAACAATTTCAAACATTTTGTCTTATAATTTGTGCCCAGCTGTATTCTGGTGTTATATACACTTTTATCTATTTTTTAGTTTATTAATTATGATCTAACAAATCTTATTCATTGAGTAGCCTTTTTGTAATCTTTATACAGTTTTTACTTATTGAATACATTAAAAGAAGTAGCATATTTTGCTTGTGGTGATTCATAATTAGAATTCTGGTTTGAATATATTTTCCATCCGATATATCTATTGCAAAAGATTTCAACTTTATTTGGATTTATTCTTGAAATAGTGAAAAATTTGAAGTCAATTTGTACGCAGAATCTGCATAAATTAGTTATTTCTGTGTAATTTTCAAGTGATCTTTAAAACTAAATGCTCAAAAATTGGTAAAATCTATGAATATAATTTTTGGTAGCAGTAATTATCACATGAAACCTAAAAATTTTTATTGAGTTCAATGTTAATTTTCTGGAAATTATGAAAAATCAATATGTATTATTCTACACAAACATAAAAAGGATCGGGTTGAACGAAATTCTTACTTCTATTTTATATTTGGTTAATATAAACAATATTTATAAACAATTATTAATATTAATTGATTTTTCAATCAAAATTATGTCATATAGTTGTATATATATATATATATATATATATATATATACACACACATATATATATATATATATATATATATATATATATATATATATATATATATATATATATATATATATATATATATCATATTCTATCGGGTAATTAAGCTACTATTAATAATTTCATTTCTTTTTATATGTATTCAAGTCAATTTAATATGGTCGTGATTGTAAGAGTTCAGCTTTATTTTGCCTATTCATAATTATTGAATGCCTGTCTATATAATTATTTATGCGTATAAATTGATTATTTTGACTTTGTGTATTGTGCAGTTCTAAAGGCAACTATAAAAGTTCAAATACAAAGACCTAACAGTGATTCTTCAAATAACGTCAAACCAAAATTGAAATGCGTTCGTTTTATTTCTGCATAAAGTATTATATTCTTTATTGCCACAGAGGCTGACGAAACGAACAATTCTAAAATATAATTCATTCAATTATAAAGTGCATGCACTCAGACTGTTCAGTGTTATCTCAAAACATTAAAAAAAAAACTTATTTCCCTTCAGCTTGGTTTTTGAGGAAAGTTCATCAATCTTCGTGCGTTTTTCGATTTCACCTGTCTTACATGAAATTTGATGTCAAATGTGTTTCATTGTATTTTCTTTCTGTTTGTTATTAAAACGGATATTTCGGGGATCAAATCATAAGTTAAGGGAACTGAAGTACTTAAAATGAAGTTCAGAATATTTTTCATACCCTCTGAAAATGTTTCTGTAATTAGTCGGTTTCGAAATCTTTAGTCAACAGTTACATATTAATTTATCAGGTAAGTCTATACGTTTAAATTGTTTACTGGTTTCTTAAAGAAGCTATTTATTCATCAACTATAAAAATCTTTTGCTTTCTGTTGAAACTCACAAAGCTTATATCAGGTCTAGCTTTTTGTGAGATTACCACTTAATTTTTCTTAGGAAATGACATCGTCTAATGTAGAATATGTATCCATTTATATCCGATCTTGTTTAACGTCTGTTGCTGTCATTGATTTCAAACTTACGAGTCATAAACCATTTATGGAAAATAATTTCTAAATTCTTGCTTCTTCCCGTAGTTTAAATTTAACGTAGATCATATTTGATTGGTTGATTTAAATAAATCCCACAAACCTTATAACCAACCCACACATCTCTTTTTTTTCTTTTTTGTAAAAAGAGGCTGTATTTTGCTTTTAAATTTGATTAAATCGTTCACTCGCAATTCACTCGTAATTTACAATCACCTGTTGAGATGTGTTGTATACGCATCGAAACACGACTGCAATTGTGTTGACATGTTATGATGTGATATCCTAAAATAAATAATATTGCTCTACTTTGTATTGAGCCCTCTTTTAAATTAAATGTTAATGTTATGAACGTTGGAATTGTACTCTATTTGTTCTCATCTTATTTGTATATATATATATATATATATATGATCTGACGATTGCTTTGAAGCATGAACCAGATTGTCGCCGCTGGATGTTGAATTCAATGTCCACTTTTATATTTACATACGGTTTATCCCTGATTTTCAGTACTAAATCCATAAATATAGCATAAACCTTAAAACTATATTTTCTCTTTCTCTCTCTCTCTCTCTCTCTCTCACACACACACACACACACACACACACACACACACACACACACGCACATACACGCACACACACACACACACACACACACACATATATATATATATATATATATATATATATATATATATATATATATATATTCAATTAATTTACTTCATTTAGTTATTCTCATCTACTTGAAGATGTTCTGTAAACAAAATTGAATTTCACTTTAAATAAATGTCTTCTAAGCAAATGAATTCAACATTTTTTCTGTTGCAATAAATATATTCCCGTATATTTTTTTTATTTTTTTTATTCTTTCTAAATCTCTGTTTAAATACGGTCAGTATTTTAATCTACAGTATCTCCCAAAGTATATACATACTTTACATAGAGAAATATATACATACTTTACCCGCCTATACGACCTAAAACACACTTTTGTTTTACATCGAAAGTCAGTCTGTAATGTTTTTAATATAATCTTTGGTATATTTTCTTTTTAAAATTCATGAAATTCAACTTATAAATTAATCATAGTACTTATATATGTGTCCATGTATATATGTATTAAGTAAATAACATAATTACTTTTTAAAACGTTTTTTTTTTTTAATATATTTTCTATGTATGGGTTTATGGGTCTTAAAATATATACTCACATTTATTGCCAGTAATTTTTTTTTGATTCAATTTCGTTATTCTAAAATGAAGATTCTATTTTGCAATAGCATTATATAAAAATTCTACATTTTATGCTTTCAAGATAACTTATTAATATTCCAGAATTATGAATTTAGAAAGTGTTGGTAATCTTTTAATGGTCATTTTGTTTCCAGCTCGAATCCTTAGCAGGCTCTTAACTAAACTTATTTAACTTCATATTATTTGTATATTTCAGCCGGAAGCCCTTCCAAAATGGCCGACGTTAATACTGTGAAAGGACTCTTCGCCTTGTCTGTGCTCATCAATATCTCTTTACTGACGGGTATATTGACACTACTTGCCATAGGCGACTACGGTCGTGTGACAGACGACGTAAACGCCTTCCTCTGCAGCAGCAACAAAAGAGACTACTTGCCATTTGATGATAGAACGCTAAGCCCCTACGAATTACGCCATCGGCGCCACCGTGTATTCGATGCCCTAAACACGGAAGAAATTGAAGCTATATTCAAGTATCTGTACAGTATAAAATCGTTAAATCTTATGCATCCTTCCAAGGCAAAAGTAAACGATAATTATATATTTCTAATGGAAGCCCAGACGCCTAAAAAATTAAAAGTGCTTCGATTTCTTGATGATTACGGGCCGATCCCAGCGAGACAGGCAAAGGTGATTATAATGAAGGGAAAAGACGAGCAGCCGGTCGTTGAAGAATATATTGTGGGTCCGCTGCCGAACCCACGCTACCATTACTTGAACAACCGGACAACAAAAAAAAATCCTTTGCCATTTCGGATTCGACCGTTTAACAACCCAGAGATTTTGGCATTAATGCACGAGGTTCTTCCCGAGACAATGAAAAGTATTAACAATGTCCTGCAAGAGATTTATGGAGCCCAACTGTCGCCTAATGGATGCGAAGTGCTGTGTCTTACTTTTACAGCAGCTCCTGTGTCGACATCGTTCGTTCGCGAACGAAAACTATGGATTCCATTATTTTACAACCTTGAATTCCCAACTCTGTACCCGATTGATTTTCAACTACTAATCAATATAAATCCCAAAAAATTAAAGGAATGGAGAATCGAGCAGATCTGGTATTCCGGTATCCTGTATAATTCAACCCAATCATTTCTTGCAAACTACAAGGAAAATACTAACAATTCCACGCAGAGGATTAACCCGAAAACTATTCTTGACAACGTTCGCGGTCATCTTTATTCTCGAGGAAGATTATACCCGGACAGGCACTCGACAGGACCGCAGCAATTTGAGACGTCACGCAAACGCTACAAGATAATTAACAATAAAGTCATCTACATGAAATGGTCTTTGGACTTTCGCGTCTCGGCTATTCAGGGCCTTCAACTTTTTGACATCAAATTCGCCAATGAGAGAATCATATACGAACTTAGCCTCCAAGAAATTGCTGTTCTTTACAGCGGTTTTAATCCTTTTATGCGCTACATGCATGTGGCAGACACAGTCGATCTCCCAGGAAAAAGCTATGGACTTGTTCCTGGGGTTGACTGTCCGCATCATGCCACATTCTTAAATGCAACTCATGCTACTGAGGAGTACGATCATCCAGCTGTTTATCAAAATGCTATGTGCATATTTGAATTCAACAAGGATGCCCCCTTTCGACGCCACCATGCGAATAATATGCGTGAAGGGAAATTCTACTCTGGCCTCGCAAATAATGTATTAATCATAAGAACGATATCCGTAGTCTACAACTACGACTACATTTTCGATTATATATTTTATCAGAATGGTGCTCTTGAGGTGAAGGTCTACTCGACAGGCTACGTTTACACGACGTCATACTCCGATGCTGAACTACCATATGCCGTACCTGTCGATAAAGACGTGGTAGCCAACATTCATGCTCATCTGTTCCACTTCAAGGTCGATTTGGATATACTTGGCCAAAAGAACAGATATGAAACGTGGGATGTAAAAGTCGAGAATAAAAGTAACTTGTGGACGCAGAGAGGTGAAGGTTTTCCCCAATATTGGTTCAATCGGAACTTGAAACGAACTGAAAAAGAAGGCGTCTTTCGATATGACTTTAATGCACCCAAATATCATAATATTGTGAACAACGCCAAGACCAACTATCATGGTATCCCACGGGGCTACCGAATCCATCATAAGGGAATGGTCAAGCAGTTGCTACCAGAAAACTTCCATATGGAGAGTTCCATCTCGTGGTCACGTTACCAAATGGTGGTCACACAGTACAAGGACAAGGAGGAGTCAAGCAGTTCCATAACCGCTCTCTTTGGAACTAAAAACCCGGCGGTAAAATTCTCCAATTTTGTTGATGATGACGACGATATTGTCGATAAGGTAAAGCTGTTTTAACAAATTTTTTTATCATAACTAAATACTTTGCAGTATAAAGTATCAAGAAGTGATTTTCGTAAATACTGACGAAATATTATATATATATATATATATATATATATATATATATATATATTAAAGACATTTTTATGTTTAACGTTCTTTTTTATAGATACAAGTATTTAAGTAAATGCTCTGTTTATAATAAACAGTATTAAATAATATTTACCGGCCTGAATGTCCGAGAAATTTTCATAGAAAATATTCGTCCTTTGACACGGAACCGTCATTTACGCTGACGTGCCTTACCGTCTCGGCCACAAAGGAGCGTTAGGTAGACAAGGTCGAATTTACTGCTTATAAACTTCAATCTTCTATGAATCTCGTACATTCATAACTGCTCTGGCGTATCAAATGTAAACAAATGACGTCATATATTAAGAAATGGACAAAGTCCGACAATTTATTTATTAAAGACATTTTTATGTTTAACGTTCTTTTTTATAGATACAAGTTAATTTTGAAGTCTATAAGCAGTAAATTCGACCTTGCCTACCTCCTTTGTGGCCGAGACGGTAAGGCACGTCAGCGTAAATGACGGTTCCGTATAGGATGCAGGTTCGAATCCTGTCAAAGAACGAATATTTTCTATGAAAATTTCCCGGACATTCAGGCCGGTAAATGTTATTTAATACTGTTTATTATAAACAGAGCATTTACTTAAATACTTGTATCTATAAAAAAGAACGTTAAACATAAAAATGTCTTTAATAAATAAATTGTCGGACTTTGTCCATTTCTTTATATATAAAGACATTTTTTTTATGTATATAGTTCTTTTTACAGATACAAATATTTAAGTAAATGGTCTGTTTATAATAAACAGTATTAACAACATTTACCGGCTTGAATGTCCGAGAAATTTTCATATAAAATATGCGTTCTCAGGCCGGTAAAAGTTGTTAATACTGTTTATTATAAACATAGCATTTACTTAAATATTTGTATCTATAAAAAGAACCTATAAACATAAAAATGTCTTAAAAATAATTGTCTAACTTTGCCCATTTCATAATATATATATATATATATATATATATATATATATATATATATATATATATATTAAGGCATGTGTTATCAAAGACTTCGGAACTCTTCCGCTTGATGATATTAAGCATATTTAATAACTAATTCTCCAATAAAAAAAAAAAACATCAACTCCCCCTTACCATTAATGAATTAACCCATTAATATCGTCTAATATTATCTATAAAACTAAAAGAACCAAGAACATATCTCCAAATAAAAACAAACGCCATGATGACATTTGAGGCCAACCGAAAGCGCTCGGCATAAAACTATCGACTGGGAGCCTATTTTAACAACCTGGACCCAAACATTAAGAAACTTGTGAGGAAGCAAGAAAAAACTGAGAAAAAAGATCCATGAAGCGGAATAGTTCCGTAGCGTTTAATAACAAATTCCTTAATAACGACAAAATACACACTCACACACACATATATATATATATATATATATATATAGTAAAAAAAGAAAGAACAGTAAGAAATATAAACTGGTGTTCTTATTAATATTTTTATTTTTACAAAAGAGTGCTCAATGTAAATTTACAGAGCATACATATTATAAATTAACTGATTTAAAAATATGGTTTCATCGCTACACAGGAATTACCATGTTTAAAAAACAGAAACCAAAAACTTTAAATTCAATTATATTAAATTAAAAGCATTAGTTCTGTTGCATCTTCAAATGAATTTTGGAATAACTTATTTTAAAATTTACTGAGTTTTAAAAGCACATACATTCATAATTTTTGTTTCCAAGGACACAGAGAAATTCAATCATTTCGATAGGGGTGGTAGCGTGTTCTTTTTTATTAACTATTATTGTATCAATTATGAGTTACATTTGAAAATAGGTTAAGTCTAGGTGGGGTAGGGGATCCTTTTTCAACGAATTATGACATCCGTTCAACGCTTGTCGTCTGGTTTTCTATCAACGGCAAACAGTTTTTCGGCATTTTATTCGTTAAATTTCTACTTGTATACATACCGATTCTTTCTAACTGAGGTGTTTGGATTAGAATACGTTGTATTGATCTACAATTTTAAAATATTTTTTTACTTTTAATTACAAACAGATTATATTTCTTTTTAAAACAAATAAATGTAATAGAATTACTTAAATTATTTAAAAGTTATTATTACATATCAAGTATAAGTATGTATATTATCAGCTATGCTTTTTTTAAATATTATTTAAGGAAAATTTTTGACAATGTCAGCAAAGAATAGCTATTTCAATTCTTTGATTCAGTAAATTTTTATTTTTATAAATAAATGTTATATATAGTTTCTTATGTATGCACAAAGAACATGGGTCATTTAATGACCTATATATTCTAGCTTTTCGCATTAATTTCAATTTTACTGGGGGTGTTTTATTGGTTTCTTTTAAGTGCCAGAAATCTTTCGATAGGGATGTTTGATTTCGGTATTTATTTATCCTAAATAAACTTTGATGTTGATTGAATCTTTTCTTGAACTCATGGCTTCTGCAACCTATATAGACTTTTATGTTGTCGGAATCTTCAATGGATGAGATATTGCATTGGTATACTAATGATTCTGTGCGACATTTATTTTGTAGAGGACAGTTATGAGAATTTCTGCAGATGCATAATTTTTATTTATCTTCATCTCTTTTTGTTTTTATACTGTTCAAATTTCTTTGGTTTTGGTCTAAGTGTTTATTCAAGATATTAGCATTATATTTCTTAATAATTTTCTCTAAGTTTTCAGTACAGCTGTAAATTAATTTTAGTGTATTTTTATTACAAATAGTACTGAGTTTACTATCTTTAGGAAAATGTTTAACGATTAATGCAAGAAATTTTGTCCAAATTTATTCTTTACCATTTGTTTGTATGGGGGTGTATACCAAATTATTTTTCTGCTTCTGTTTTTTCTATGCTTTTCATTTTCCTTTTTTATATAAGCTTGTTTTGGGCTTCTGTAGCCACTATCTTTTAGAGCTTTATTATAGAAATTAATATGTTCATAGAAAATCTCCTCATTTGCTGAATTTGTACTTATTCTTTTTTCGATAGATAAAGGTATATGCTTAATTATAGATGGAGGGTGATTAGATTTAGGTGTATATATAAATACTAATACTAATCCCTTATATATACACCCTAAATCTAATCATCCTTTGTAATTATATATAACTGAACTAACACGATGGGATATGTATATATACTTTTTAAATTTTCGTTTTAAAGCTTTAATAAGGTATACTTTAGATATTTTGCTTTAAAATAACTCTTAGTGAATTTATTTATTATTATATTGCTGTGATTGTTCTTAGTCGAGTTGTTTCTCGTTGACTTCTCTAAGGCGCTTATTGAGACGCCACACTTGAGTCCATGTACCCTTTTGGTTGGTCAATTTCTCAACAGATAAAGAAGTGACTTGAAGAGATATAGATGTGATTCTTTTAAACTGAAACAAAATGCATTATTTTTAGACACTGGGTAATTATTCCAAACTATTATAATATCTTTCATTAAAGATATTTTACGTTATATCTATATATAAAATTCTATAACTTTCGTTAATCCGTCCATTCGTTAGACCCTCTAAAATGGTCATACATTGACCGATTGAAACCAAATTTTGGGGAGAAATGCAAAAAGATAGGGGGGTAAAAAACGCAGTTGATTCTACTAGAGTGCGTAAGTTAGTGCAATAAATGTTCATTAATTATTTTTTTGAAAAATTAAAAATAATATTATTTAAAATACAAAATACTCCCACTATTTTCAAAATAATTTAATGATTAAATTAACAAATACTTATTTAATAAAAAGGCAATATTGTTTTTTTGCATATCTTTTCTTTAAATTTTATATACAAGAAACAAGTTTCCAGTTCGCCCGGCGTATGCTATGCGAGAACTATAAACAAATTACAGGCCAAATGCTTCAAAAATGTTGAAAATTTGTTCCAGCAAGAAATATTTTACGCCTGGCCAGTTTTATGCTGCATGCTCAAGAGTAAGAAATCCTAAGAATTTATTCCTCGCTGTTAAAAATGGAAAAGGAAAAATAAATTTTCTTAAAAATTATTGTTAACATGAAGTCCTATATAATTCAAATAAATTAAAGAAATTATTAAAACGCGAAGTAGGGGTTTTGTTAAAATGTATTTTCCAAACAAATCAGCTGATTGAAATTTCATCGATTGGTTTGCGAAATTAAACGAAACGTAGAGTTTGTAAATCTCGACAAAAATGCTAGCAATAATTTCAAAAAGAATGAATGTGAGGATGTGTTGCCGAAAGATACTAGAATGCACAGACTGACCTGAACGTTGGAGGAGATTACTGACAACTTAGAAGGTTGCTTATATATATATATATATATATATATATATATATATATATATATATATATATATATATATATATATATTATAGGAGTCTTTATCTGAGTGAAATTCAATGAGGGCGATAATCGCTTTTCACCGTTAAGTAAACATGATTACAGTGGGATAGGTATTTGAGAATAAATTTTAATTTGTGGCAATCAGATTATTTTGTAAAGAAAAATATTTATTAGAATTTATTAATGTTCATATATATATATATATATATAAAATATATTTATATATATATTTATATATATATATATATATATATATATATATATATATATATGCCTGAGGATTGCGTCTAGCATGAAACAGCCTGTCGCCTCTAAGTGTTGACTTCAATGTTAACTTTTATATTTACACACGCTCTATCTCTGATATTAAACACTTTATCTCATAAATATAGAACACCTTAAGAGTATATTTCTCCATATATATATATATGTGTGTGTGTGTGTGTGTGTGTGTGTGTGTGTGTGTGTGTGTGTGTGTGTGTGTATGTATATAAATATAAATAAATATATATATATATAATTATTTATATATTATATGCGCGGT